GAATTTGGCTGAGTGTTGAAAAGAATATATTAGTATTGTGACAGTTTGGGATATTATTCTCTCCAGGTGTTAGTCAATTCTTGGGTTTCGACTTGAACTAAAGTCATGATCGAGTTTAATTGGACGTGACATGCAAGTGCTTGTTCAAAGGTTAGCCTTTGTTGTTCAAATGATTGTTCAGTTGCTTTTTATGCAGCTTTAGCAATTCAAATGTAACTGCGCGATCTACAGCTCTATGTTATTGAGTTTGCATCAGCCTAATTATGAGTTAGTTGAGTGACTCAAAATAATAATCTGAGTTGTCTACACACGATAAAATATGATCTTCATTGATATTCTCGAAAGAGTTATAAATGGCAAAACAATGCCTTTCACAAAAGTGGGTATACAAGAAAACAGAAAGGAAAAAGCCAAAAGGAGATAATAGGCGGACCCTTGTCGTTATGCCTCCACCGTTGCTCTTCACTCTGCCTCGCGGGTGGCTAAACCATCAGGGAAGGCCTTCGCTTCTTGATCACATCCTTCACCGTGTTCCTCTGCCACATCTGTCTCCATAGAAACAGGAGAGCGTTCTATCACATCCTTTTCGAATTCCCCTGCCATATTGGCCTCCGTGGTAGAGGGATATGCTCCCTTCACAACCTTTTTTGTGCTGCTTCACTGTGAGATGGTTAATCTGTCCTACCCATTAAGGAGAGTGTCCCTAGTTTGTAGGAGTCCATGTTAGTGGAAGATGTTAGTGGAAGAAGTTAGTGGATAATATTAGTGGAAGAAGTTAGAAGTTAGTGGATAATGGAAGAAGTTAGAAGTCAGTGGATAATGTTAGTGGAAGAAGTTAGAAGTTAGTGGATAGTGGAAGAAGTTAGAAGTCAGTGGAGAATGTTAGTGGAAGAAGTTAGAAGTTAGTGAATAATGTTAGTGGAAGAAGTTAGAAGTTAGTGAACAGTGTTCGTGGTATGATCTTATATATATGTAAGCAATCATGTAACTTTGTGGAGAACAAAAAAGAAGAAGAAAAAAAAACTCTCTGCTTAAAAAACATTCAGTCAACTCTCTATCTCTCTATCTCTCTCTCTCTCTCTCATTTTTTTCATGACAAATCTCGATAGGTGCTTAGGCCGATCCCAATTCAAAGCCATCAAGTGGTATCAGAGCTAGGTTTATGCCCAAGTTTCAATCGAGATCTGAAGATATGATGAGAATGGAGAAGATGACGACCAAGGGGGGTTCGCTCACTATTCAATACCCGACGCTATCGAGAGATAACTACTCTTCGTGGGCAATCAAGATGAAAGTCTACATGAAGGCTTAAGACGTTTGGGACACCGTTGATCCCGCGGAAGACGTGACTGTGGAAGAATGGAAGGATAAGATGGCATTGGTAGCCATCTATCAGGGGATTTCTGAAGAAAGTTTGATGGTGATTGCAGAGAAGAAGTCGGCCAAGGAGGCGTGTGAGATGCTGAAAACAATGCATCTAGGAGCGGACCGTGTGAGGAACGTGAAGGTGCAGACATTAAAGTCCGAGTTCGAGCTTCTCCGGATGAAGGAGAGCGACAACGTCGACGATTTTTCAATGAAATTGACAGGAGTCGTTAGCAAGATCCGGGCGTTAGGCGACGAGATGCCGGAGAGCTACGTCATCAGTAAGCTACTCCGGGCAGTGCTGGAGAGGTTTCTTACTATCGTCTCCATGATTGAGCAGTTCAGGGACATCGAAAGCATGACACTCGAGGAGGCGATCGGGCGTCTCAAGGCCCACAAGGAGCAGACACGTGTTTTTCGAGACAACGTCGATAACCACCTATTGTTGAATCAAGCGGAGTGGCAAGCAAGGGCCAAGAAGAACGGTGGAAACTCCTTCTCAATACAGACAATAAGAGATGACAGTGGACGAGGTCGTGCATGC